CCTAACGTTTTAATTAACATAATAGCGATATACCGTTATTAGCGGGTTTTCGTTATTTGTATTGTGCATGTTAACGGTACGGGCTCGATGAGCCGCCATATATAATTCCATTCTTTATCCGTACGGGCTATACACATAGGGTATGTTCCGAAATACAACCCAGTACACTGGCAAATGCAAATGACGTCATCAATTGACACTATATTGTACTGGCGTGCCGCCGCCATATTGCGTCGGATATCCGGCCACAATAAAACAATTTTTAATTGTGTGTACGCTGAATGAAGCATGCCAGAATTTGTTTTTATTTATTCAAATACAAAACATTATAGAACAATTGCTAGTATCTTCATTAGGAAGATATAATGATTTTTGGAGCACAAAATGACAAAATAATCCCTAAACACTTTTCCAAATGGCGCAAAAGTATGACGTCATATACTGTCCAATGTTTTGGAACGAATCACCAGTATAGCGTCGATTCATGACGTCATTTGCATTGGACAGTACACTGCGTTGTATTTCGGAACATACCCATAATAATCTATAGTTCATAAAAGATAGCTTGTTCTCTGCGACAGCTGTCATTAAAAATCACGCCTATGAATTCCTGAATTTCTTAGTAGTACAGACCTTTGACTAGAGAAAAAAGAAAGGACATGACATACCTACGAAAAAAGCGTGTATACCTAAATTGAGACTGGCACAAAGATGGCGGCTTGACGTAGTTGCGTACTATACTTAATATCGATAATGTGGTGCTTATTTGAAAAAAGATTCTTTCGTGTGATTCATCTCAAATACCCGAGTGTTCTTAGATCGATATGACGGATGACAAATTGTAAGTCCTTAATTTTTTTTACTCAACCTATCGATAGGGATATCAAAATAAAGGAAATTACCTACTGAAATATATATAAGTTATACCTATGTTTTCAGTTCATTACTTTTAAGTAGTCATTTTGTTTTGCTTTTATGATGTAACTTTCTATTATTAATGTTACAATTATTTGTTTCTTTATGTAGATCAAATTACAGGCGAAACTCATTCTTCTTAAGAGCATGTAACTCATTTAATAAATTTTCTAAGGACTGTGATAAGGCTGACCTCTTTTCTACTAGTGGTACTACTATCTGCAAATTGATAACATCTGAATTCAGTAGCAATTTACTCTTGAACTCTTAAATCTAATCAACATCAATGTATAAATTATATCTACTTATATATGTTGCATGTATTTACCCAAACCGATTACTCCTCTGTGAAAAGTTTTAATAGGCTTACTTTGTAAATTACATTATATACCACATTATAGTATTAATTAAAAGCTGTAAGTTTTCCTGTTATAAATAAATAAATAAATAAATTTGTCAGGAATTACTAAACAAGAAATACTAATTAAAAAATTTTTGTTTGTTTGTTAGACAATAAATTAAGCTAAGTCATCACACTCACACAAATCAAACTATAATAAATGCAAAAGTTTGAATGTTTGTTCCTCAATCACGCCAAAAGTATCAGACCAGTTTAAATATAATAATTTGGCACACAAATAGTTTATTACCTGAATTAACATATAGTATTAGATGTCCCGAGAGATAGAATAAGAAGATACCTAGGGCAGCTACTTCATATGCGATATACGAAATAATATAATTTTATTAAAATAATATTAAGTTATTTTCTTTTCAAAGTATTTAAACCTCAGATCCATATAGGTTTGGACTACGGATTTAATAAGTAAAAGTCTATGTGTCGTGTCATGTTCGCAGTTTGATTTAAACAAATTCGCTTCATCAAAATGTTCCAATAAAAAATCTGAACACATGGAGATAATATTGCTCAGACTGCAGCTGTTTCTGAAAAATACCCTTTAAGACTTTTTCCACTTTAATTAGAGTGCGCTTCACGTATGTTGGTGGGTAAATCAGCCCACCCCTGTTCTTGAAAGTTATTAAGGTATTTTGATAGTCTTTGTGATCGCCAAACAACAAAAGTCCATATCACAGTCAGTGCCCATGTTAACTCTTCCATAATAAGTCTTAGTTTGAGGATCCCAGCAAAGACACTTACTGATAGCCATTTCATTTAACACTAAAGAACATAGCACTGGCATCTCACTTGTTTGAGCTTTGAGTTTCAAAGCATTAAAAGCTTCTGTAAAAAACCAGGCTCAGCATTTACATTCTGGTACCACCTACTTAAAGTTCTCGGATGTGGCAAACACGTATTGTAGGTACGACGAACAAAATCGTAGGCCTTTGGAGACAGAAAGTGAAGCGTCAATGCGAATTTTATTAATTTAATTTTAGATGTTCCTTCGCTGTATTGCCTTTTCATAGGCAATCCTACCGATTTAGAAATTTGTCTCTTAAGAAAATCTTTGGGGCCTGCGCACTGCTCCAACACAATCGCATGATCATCATTAACATAATTTTTGTCCTTTATATCCTTCATTAAAATTTTAAAATCAGCTATTTTCTTACTTTGTCTCCTCACTTTTTCATTTAGTCTTTTAATTTTTTTCCTTTGACATTCACATTTCGTCTTAAGTTTTTGGATTATTTAAGCTGTTCATCCTGAAACAAAAAAAAAATACATTTACAAAACCAAAGAAAGTGTTCTAAGTATTTTTCTGTTAATTTTGTAAGTTTCAATAAAAAGAAAAATAGGCTATCGATCCAACTCATGATGAATATTTTACAAGAAGCAGGTCATCTACCTAACATTTAATGTGGTTGGTTAAAATTCTTTAAGATTATATATTATAAAAACATGTGAAAATAACACACCTCAATAAAATTAGAAGTGCTGCAGACAGGTTTCTCTCCAAATACTTTGCGAGGAACAGTTTGTTGCTTCTCACTCCTGTAACATGGGGCTGATAACTGTTAAAGAAAAATAAACAATAACATATTTTAATATTAAGTGAATTTGTATTTAAAAGTCCAGATTCTATACCTATAAAGTAACATAAATTATGAAATATAGAAATGCTGCAGACAGGCGTCTCTTCTCGTACTATGTGAGAAACGGATTTTTGTTCTTCACACTTGTTAAATTGGGCTGATAACTGTAAAGGATAAATAAAAATATTAATAAACATTTTGTAAGTTTTTATTAAAATGTTGTCAAGATTTTTTAGTAACCCACAGCACAGCACCCTCTTAGGAAATGAGTATAATTTACCTCTGCATAGTTAGAAGTGCTGTAGATAGGTTTCTCTACCAAAACCTTGCGAGAAACAGATTCTTGTTCCCTACAATCTTCAAATTGAGCTCGTAACTATAAAAATGCAAATATATGTTTGTAATATATTTTTGCTTGTTTTTAACCTGCAGCCATAATGCGTAAGCATTTTACCACTTACCAACAACTCGCTTGAAGGCAAAGCATCATCGCGCAGCCTTGTAACATTTAAAGTTCGATTAAAACATTTTTCTTCAAAATGTAGCGGACAAATAAAAATGTGTTTAGTTTTGGTGTTGAGGTTTTCTACACCAAGTATATTCACCCACTTTTCTGTTTGTTTCTCACACTTTGGTAATCTAAAACCACAAAAAAAAAATGTCCTCTTTAAATAGGTACTATTCATCTATCGATATATCGATATATTGAAAATGCCGAACCGTACTGTTTCTCGATCACTAAATAATGATAGAAAAACATTCGATCATAATGATTTCTTATATTTATGCGAACACTACACATTTAAATAATATTAATTTTAAGGATTTCATCGCGTACATTAGATCATTATGGAAAAGAAGTAGGTTACTTACCTATGCAAAGTAATATTTTGATGTGTGTTCTTGTTTTTCATCCGGCAGCTTATTACACTGCACCTGCCAATGATAAATGTAGTCCTCTACTAGTTTTCAAATGCACAATTTTCGCATAAAACGCATAAAAACATTAAATTTTCTCAAAGATTTTAAAAAAGACTAGTCGCTATGACAACTGATATATAACTGATATTGACTGTGACAAAACATGACGACCGGCCGCAGCGAAAAATTATTGTCATATTCGGTAATGATAAAAGTAATGTTGTCCTTTTTACATACGAATATACTCATGACCTAAAAAGAATTACTACAACTAACGATCTTTATGTCATGTCCTTTCCTTTTTCTCTAGTCAAAGGTACAGACAGTACCTGTCAATGTCATACTTTATGGGCATGCACTAATTAGGTCGGCATGCCCATAAAGTATGACATTGACAAGTACTGTCTGTACTACTAAGAAATTCAGGACTTCATAGGCGTGATTTTTACTGACAGCTGTCGCAGAGATCAAGCTATCATTTATGAACCATAATAATAATTTAAACTACTTACTCTCATATTTGACATAGTACGAAAATACCAAAGATGACCACTAGACATTTCTATATCCATGCATAAATTACACGCAAAATCTATCAATAGATTTTTCTCTTTTTGCCTAACTTGAAAATTATATTAGAAAAAGCGAGACAAGTATATTGACTCAATTTATGTAGATCTGTAGGTTCTCTCTATGCATACGTAAGTTTTTTTATTTAAAAATATATAATATTATATATATATGTATGTAATTACTCTAAGAATTGATATAATTAAACGCATTTTATGATTTATTTTTATAAAAATTCGTAGTACATGAACTATATTTAGCGCGAAGTGTGGCGTTTTTTTGATGGGCCGATTTCGTAAGTCTAGCGTATTTTGGATGGTTGTTAGCGCTGAACGGGTTATTTACTTTATAGTTGGCAGCATTGCTGTATGACAATGACATGTTGACATGACACTGGCAGATACAGTGCTGACAGCTGACAGATGATATAACTTTTATTTACACTTACAGGCATTTGAGAAATGTAAATATTTAAAAATATGGTACCCTTTCAAGAAGCTGTATTTAGAGGCAGGTACGTGGCCTTTATGCTTAAGCGAAGTAGTACATCAGATACAAAAGTGGTACACCCTCCCAATGCGAAAAAAATTTCAAGCGATATGGTAGGCCCTCCAGATCCTGTTTCTAACTTAAGAAGAATAATTTTTAAGCAATCGGCTAATGAAACTAAATTAGAGAAAAGATATAGGGAATTACGCATGGAAGTTCAAGAGTGGAATCAAAAATTTTGGACACAACACAACTCAAGATTTTTTCAGGTAATATTATGTTTAATCAGTGAATTTTTATAATCGTCACATATTGTCATTGGATAAGAACTTTAATAGGACCATTTATATTATTTAACATTACACATTCATAATATTAGTTTACATTAGTAATTACGGCAGTTTAAAATATCATAAACCTATAATGTCAAAAATACTTTATTATACCGTTACAGTTACAACCTGTTAAAAGTCTACTGCTGAACATAAGCCTCCCCCACAGATTGTCTTATATGAGAAAAATATGCCATGGTAGTCTTACGCCGGTAACTGTTATTTTTAGTTGTTATTAGGAAGATGCTGCTGCCATTTTCCTGTAGTGTTTCCCTTTGTCGCCTCTTCAACATCCATGGAATGATATGGGGTAGTGGATATTCTTACATCACCACTATACATTACTTTATTATACCTATTATACTATCTCCGTAAATTATATGTTACTTTATTATATATATAGCGTATCATCATCATCATTACAGCCCACCTCCATTGCTAAACGTAAGGAAAAAAAAGAGTAAAATAAAATTTATCTATCCTAATTTTTTATCATATATTACATTTATTGCAAGCTTCATCAGCACGGTGTTCTACAAGTCAGAATCCTCTCCAACAATATCATGAATTTTTTTATGCTATAATTAAAAAAAATGGTTACAATTAGTCAATACTATAAGAGTAAAAGCCCTTTTTTGGAGGATACTAGACTGAATTAAGTGCAGCCTCCTTTTTATAGGATAATGTTATTGTTTGGGTTAGAGAAGTTATTCCTATTTTTACATTCAATGTCTAATTGGTGAACTAGATACATGCTCCGAAACATGCTGCATCTAAAGTTTTCTATAGTATCTGTATGTGTCTTTCTTATCTTTCTGTAAAATCACAATCTCGTAATAAATTACACAAAATTTAAAATAATACAATTTAAGTTGTATCAAAAATAAACCCTGTCTATAAATTATTTTTACAACAATACTAAATTAGAATGTGTTGATTCCTATACATTATTAGGTATAAACATAGATTAAGGTATAATTTGGAATGAACACATAAAGAAAGTATCATCTAAACTTTCCCATTTCCCACTTTCCCAAAAATGGCCATGTGTGCATACTACATTTATGCCTACGTATTGTTCAAGTATGGCATACCGTGAGGAAACAGCACAGACTTAAATTAATTATTTATTCTACAAAAAAAATGTATCCACATTGTTACAAATATAGATAACATTGACTACAGCAGTCTACTTCATTTCATTAAAAATATTAACACTTACATGTTTATATATAAAAATTATGTGTCACATTGTTTGTCTGCGACTACTGAACTGATTTCAATGAAATTTTGCACACTATGTGAAGTTTATCCGACTTTGTTTAAAAAACTCCCTATGTCTATAGGGAGGTTTTTAAACCGATAAGTAACCCTTAAGTTTTTTTATTGCATATTTAAGGAATTTTTACAGGAAAGTTGTTGGAAAGAGCAGAACAATGTCTGCCAGGCCAGCTAGTCTATATATACTAAAAGTATGCACTTTTTTCCAATATACTCCCGGCCTCATTTTTTACGTCCTAATAATAAATTAGCTCCTTATCACAAAATTACAAACAGTCAATCAGGACCCTGTAGTATGTGTGTAAAAATGTATAATAAAATCCCTAAATGTCTACAAAAAGGAGAATCATTAAATAAATTTCAAACAGAGCTTAAAAAATATTAAATTGAAAAAAGTTTCTATTCATTGTTTTTTGGTTAAAAATAATAATTGGTGGAGCGACGAGCCTAAGGCTACCGAAGTCCAATTCCCCGGTCGAGCCTTAAACCTATTACGCGAGATATTAACCAAAGTGGACTATATATGCGAAATGCTTCTACGTTTACATAAAATGGCGACTATTGCACGCGATTTCCCATACAATGCCAAATCTATGAAAGGAATTTCCCATACAATGCCAAATCGACAAACGTAAATTACGCTACGCAATAATTTCGACCAAGAGGACAAGCGGTTCGCCAAAGCAATGATTGGAGAAACCTCGCTCGAAACGTTCGCCACTAGAGCGTGTCTCTTCTCTTCCGGCGGTTGTGACACTGACGAAGGTTGGAAATCGGTTATTGGCCATTGCGAGGGATCCAAGTGAACCCAAGAAGGTCCGTGGAACCAAAGCGGGTGGTCCTTTATTTGCATCGGGGTGAGTCCACGGGATAGACAATCGGCAGGGTTTTCCGTACCGGACACGTGATAAAAGTTCTGCGTATCTAACTCGTCTTGGATCTTGGCCACTCGGTTCGCGACAAACGTATCCCAACGGTGTGGTGAAGAATGAACCCAGCATAAGGCGAGGGTGGAGTCGGAAAAGGCAAATATCCTTTCTATGTGAACTCTATCCCTACATGCGCTGATAACTGCGGTAATAAGCTTGGTGAGTACTAATATTGCGCAAAGCTCTAAGCGCGCCAGAGAGACAACCTTACGGGGGGAGACTCTCGACTTAGAACTAATGAGGCTAATCGAATTTCTACCATTATTCTGGACGTGAAAATATACAACGCCCCCCGTAAGCCTTCTCGCTGGCGTCTGCAAACCCAACGACCGTGATGACGCTATTTCTATCGACGTTTATATGACGCGGTATTTTAATTTCTCTTAGTAAAGGAAGTTCCTCTCTAAAACGCTGCCACAACCGAACAATGCTGTCAGGCGGCGAGTCATCCCAATCGCATTCAAATAACCAAAGTTGTTTAATCGAAATCTTAGCGTATAATACCACCGGAGCTACGAAACCCATGACGTCCCATAATCTAGCAACGCATGACAGTATTGTGCGCTTTGTGCACTTCTCTACGGGCGGATTTACCTTAAGGCTAAACACGTCGGAGTCTGGTGACCAACACAGACCGAGCACCTTGTGTGTATCAGAATCGTCGAATTCCTTTATCGCCGAAAGACGGTGTGATAGTGGGATTGTATCTAAAACCGGACGCGAATTACTGGTCCACTTGACAAGATCGAATTGACCTGATTTCATGAGCTTTATAACCTCGGCGGTGGTTAGGGTGGCCTCCTCCACTCTATCGACCGAGTATACAAAATCATCCATATATAAACCGCTCTCAATAGCCCTCTTAGCTTTAGGGTAAGAGGGACCTTCATCGTGAGCGAGCTGTCTCACCGTGCGTAACGCATGAAATGGGCTCGACTTTAAACCAAAACAAACGCGGTTAAATTCAAACACCATTAGAGGTTCCTTTGGGTTGAAACGATATAAAATGCGTTGGAATCTACGGTCGCATTCACGGACCCCTATGCAAAGAAACATTTGGCGAATATCGGCGGATAGTGCTATACTAAACAAACGAAAATTGGGTATTATATTAAATAAACTGCCCTGTAAATTTTGCCCACTATAGAGGATATCGTTAAGCGACAGGTGAGTGCTAGTTTTAGCACTAGCGTCGAGCACTACACGTAACTTAGATGTAAGTTTGTCCTCCCTAATGACCCCGTGGTGTGGTGTGAAATACGACGGTGTGTCTTCGTAGTTATCTAATTTCGAAGCCACAAGTGATATGTAACCTTCCCTTATATATTCGTTAATGACGCCGTCATAAGCTTCTTTTAACTGGGGTGAAGTAAGCATCCTACGCTCCAAGCTGTAGAAACGTTTTTCCGCCATTTGACGCGAATCGCCGAGAGATAAAACATCTCCCTTAAAGGGCAGCGCTACACTATATCTACCGTCGCGATCACGAACGGTCGTGCGGACGTAAATTTCCTCGCATAATCTGTCATCTGAGCTAGCTATGGGTGGGACGTTCACCTCCTCCATCTCCCAAAATTTGCGGACAAACGACTCGAGTGGTTCGACAGCCATACCACAATAAGAGGTTGCCGAAATACTATCCATGATGGGGGCGGAGCCAACGATGACATAGCCCAAGACGGTTTCCAATGCGTAAGGCGCGGTATGCGAGGAGTTGCCCCTGACCTTATTGTTTAACAAAAGATGAGGGAAAAGCGATGCTCCAATGAGCATGCAACCGTTCAGTGACCCTATCTACTACTAGTGCATTTATATCAAAGTTAACATTACGATCTATCCGAGAATAAAATTTTAAATTTATATATCCCTGGGTAGCTTTACTAGTACCTTCGATGCCTTTGACTACGGGACATGAAAGTGACTTATTTATTACTAAGCCTAAGCGCTGACAACATTGTCGCGTTATAAAGCTATTTTGGGCTCCGCTGTCCAGCAGTGCACGGACGCTTTGTTCGTTTCCACGCGAATCCCTAACCAAAATACGTGCCGTACCCAGTAACACGGTTGAAGGAGGTTGTGCTCCCATATTTGCCAATGAGCACAGAGCGACATCACCAGGTCGACCGCTAGAATCGTTGACTTTAGTAGGGGTGAATTCCTTGTCCGCTTTACTTGACGCCGATATGTTGCTATTTTCAAAATGTAATAGCGTGCGATGTTTCCTGGCGCACTTGCTACATACGGAACTAGAATTGCATTTTGCAACTAAATGCTTATCGCTTAAGCAGTTCAGACATAGGTTGTTTGTCTTTACTAATTTATAACGTTCGCTTGGTGAATATTTACGAAAAGTCGCACAATTGTATAAATTACCGTGTTTATCTTTACATACGACACAAGCATGCTGAAGTGGTGCTGACGTAGCGGTTACGTAAGTTAACGACCCTGCTATTTTAGGTGGTTGAGTCTGTCTACGGTCGACGCACCTTTTAATCTCCTGTTTAACGTTCGGAGAGCGCTGCATCACCTTTATTTGATCTCGCACGAACGATGCTAATGAATGAAAGGAAGGCATCTCCGAGCTACGATGCTCCATTTCAAACGCACGCACGGTGTCGGGGTCTAATTTCTTTAGTGCAATATGGAGAAACACCACGTCCATAAGGTCATTAAATTTCAAATTTGTGAAATGCCACAATGGTATCGAATATTTTCAAATATTCGGTAATCTTTCTTCATTTGTCTTAAATTAATTTTTCAGCGTCCGATAACGGTGGGTTAGTATGTATATTGTTTTGAAAACTTCTGAAGAAGAAGGGCCATGTCTTAATATCCCCATTGAATACCGGAATATCTATTGGCGGCAACCTAATTGAGTCACGTGGGCGTACCTGTGTTTCCGGCTTTGCTTCGTTTTGAGATGGAGACTGTAAGAGTTTCGCCGTTCTTTTCACGCGACACAACATATCTTCAAATGCCAGAAGCGGTTGGTAGTTCACTATATATTTCGGGTCGATTTGTAATTCCAAATGATTAATTTGGTCTAATATTCTTTCGTAATCCGTCCGCAAAGAATCTACCGTTTCAATTTCATTTAAGAAAGTTTCCCGCACTGCATCTACATTAATGTTCTTTATGTGATCACTAATACTTTGTATACGTGAAAAAAGTATGTCCCTCTTGGCATAAAGCGTTTTAATTTTGATTTCATTTCCACTAACTGCCATTTTAAATTATTATAATAAAATTATATTAATCACAATTAATCTCACAACGTTGGAGGATGGACATTCGCGCCGTATTACGTCATTAAATTGAACACAATTGAGTCATTAAATTGAACACCTGTTACAGCGAGCCGAGGTGACGCGCGTCGCTCGCTAAACTCAATATATTTTTATCAAAATTGTCGGGTAAGCGTACAAAACGCGTGTGATTACACTGTTTCAATTAATTAAGCGACTAATAAGCTTTAAATTTAAACCAAATACAAACACTATTTAAATGAATAATTCTATTTGCGACTAACTAACCAAAATTTAAATTTAAACTAAACGAGTACTATTAAAGTGAAGAATTAATTCTATTTGCAAGTAACTAACCAAAGTTTAATTTTAAACGAACGCTATTTAAGTCTATTCCAGCAGTAACTAGTAAGGAATGCTCACTCACCGGGGTGTTGCTTCTATGCTGCGACTTCTGGAAGATACTCTGGGTAGACTCTCTGGGGCCCCAGAGATACGTCGGGAGAGAGGCGGTGTGGTTCCAACGACGAGCGCGGCGGGAAGAGAGCGCGCGTCGGCCGCGCGTGCCTTTTTATTCCTTCGGTTGCGATGATCGCGTAATATTTTAGAATAATCTTCTTTCCCCTCCCACCCCACCACCCCGATGTGTCGATAGGAGGGTATGAATGATATCGTTTGGAAAGGGATAAAGGATTTGGCAAGCCTACCGTCAAATAAAAATAAATACGAATGGTTTTCCGCGCAACCAATAATCAATTAATTGAATATATTTATATGTCTTTATTATCATTATATTAAGAAATATTGCAACTGTTTATTAAATCCAAAAGTATTTTTTAGTTTAAGTAAATAAATTCACCTTTAAAAATTAATCAATTTAATTGATATTTAATATTGCTATCAGGGCTCATGTTTGGCTTTATTACATCCAACATAAGAACTATTTATATAACCAAATGAATGTGACAAAATGTTTGAGTTTGAAAGTTTCATGTCTGACTTGTTTGTAGTTTTTTCAGTTAGTCGTGACGAAAAAACTCTCTTCATTTAATATAGATATATCCCTTCTGAAGGATAAAACTAACAATCAATTTGACTATGTATGTGGTAGAGCTATGCTTCAGCTATATTATAGTTGTAGCACGAATGGGTTGGCTCAACCCCATTCTGTTCCATAGATGTGGTAAGAAGCAACTCATCTCTGGGCCGGGACACCCTAATGCCAGCTCCTTCCACCTTACTGCATTCAGCGCAGAGCGAATCGAATTGTCGGCGACCGAGTGCTTTCTGATCGGCTCGATTCACTGGCGTTGCGTAGGGATTAGGGATGGGCTGAATTAGGATTTCACCGAATACGAATATTCGGCCGAATGTTCGGTAAAACTTTTACCGAACCGAATATTCGGCCGAACATTATTCGGATTTAAGATAACCTCGGGACCCAACCAATTTAGGTCGAAACTTGTTACCGTAAAGCGCGCGGGATTAGCGGACCCTGCCTCTCGCTTCCCACCACACCTGACAGTTATTGCATCATTTAGCACTGAGCAAATTGCCGACACATGCTTATGTTTTGACTATTCTTGTGATAAAAAAGTATTTCGTTGTTTTATTCTTAGTGAAAATTGATAATTATATGATAAAAATGAGCGGCAAGAGATTTAATATTTGGACTTATTTTAGAGAAACTGACGATCAAAGTAAAGCGAAATGTACTAATGTAATGTAATGATTCTATTGAATTTTGAATTGTAATGATCTACAGCGCCTCAAAAACATAAATGTATAGATTTATGCATTTGAGGCACTCTAGAGTAAGTAGATTTAAGCCATAAATAAAATATACTTTAAACAGTAAAAAGTGTAAAGTATTACTCAACTCGTACATTTCAATACATTCGACACTATGAAAACGAATGTCCGGTGATTTAGCCGAATATTCGGCCGAATACGAATATTCGGTAAAGTTGCCGAATATGCCGAATACCGAATATAAAACGAATATTCGGCCCATCTCTAGTAGGGATGTTGCATCTTTTTGCGTTTTCTAATCGTATCTACGATGGGGAGTGTTCTGAGGAATTGTTCGGATTGGTTCCAGCCGACAAATTTCACGAACGCACATCGCTTCAAAATTCCTGATACCATCCTCACCATCTGAATGCTTGACGGTCCACTACTGTACGTTTTACTAGGAGTTTTCTTCCTCGTACAACTTCTCTGTGGAATTGTTTACCACCGGCGACTTTTCCGGACCGATACGACTTAGGGACCTTCAAGAAAAGAGCTTACTCCTTTCTAAAAGGCTGGCAACGCGTCTGCAATTCCCCTGGTGTTGCAGTTGTTCGGTAGTCACTTACATCAGGTGAGCCGCATGCTCGTTTGCCCCCTCTTCTATATAAAAAAGGAAATACCATGAAGTACTCGTAGCTTCTGATAGAACTATTGTATTAATGCCTAAAATTTTCAGATGACCCAGCAGTAGCAATGTTGAAAGTGTGATTGATGAACAATTATAATAAAGATTCATATTGCATTATACAGCACAAATATTAATTTGTATAATTATTTTTCGTATAATTCAAAGTATTGTTATGTACAGGAACGGGAGGAATATTTAAAGAAAAATTTACCAGAAGGCAAGCAAAATCTAACAGCGGATGAAATGAGTGTTTTCTACAAATCCTTTCTCGACAAGAACTGGAAGGTTCACATCACATATAATTTAGAGTGGTACAAAAAGAATGTAGCATTATTAATATTAGCCATACAAGTTAAGCTAAGAAGATTATTTAAATTAAAAAAACCAAACTAATAATAAGATTTTTATTTATTATTTTAATAATTTACTTATACCCTCTACCCCTCCTTATAAAAATTCATTTTATCATAACATTAATAATGAAATTTAAATTATTAACATCTTTTTTTTAAAAAATTACTATACTACTAGGTACTAGAACTCCTAGAAAACATTCCTGTATTATGTTGGCGTTTTAAAAGTAAAAAAGGAAATTTGGCAACTAAAGCCCAGATTATGACTGTAATACCACTGAAATGTTATAAAATTTTGAAGTACTTCTTTACACACTGGGCATTTTTGGGATGGGGAAAGGGAAAGCATTGAATTTGCGTGACCGTCACTCACATACATGTATACAAAAATAATGTTTACAACATTGTGACGATAAGAAGTTTTCACTTCTGACATGCAGTCCCATTTTTTTTTGTTACGAAATTCCATGTCATAGGTACATATGCTGGTAGTTGTTGAAAGTACTACGCTTGATGTTATCGACGAGAATGTTTTCCTGGGTCTGGAACAATTGGCTCAACTAGGTAAACCCAATTTCGATCGAGAGGTCAATCAATTTAGTTCGGCTGGGCAGCGTTCGGGAGATTGCAACACATCCAGTCAACTACCTATACATCAAAACCTGAAAACAAGATTGAACTATTTAGATATAGATTGAGTGCGTGTTGTCAGTGATGATTTATGGATCTGTGACGTGATCCTTCACTGCTGCTAGCCGTATGTGGAAGCTCAAGCTCACTCAGCGAGCTGTGGAGAGGGTTATGCTCGGGGTTTTTCTGTGTGATAGACTTAAAAATGAGGATAATCGCAGTAGAACCAGAGTAGCCCGACATAGCCCAGTGCATTAGTAAGCTGAAGTGGTAATGGGTCGGTCACATAGCTCGAAGAACCGACAACTGATGTGGAAGAACGGTTCTTGTATGGCAGCATCGTACCAGTAGACGAAATGTAGGGCCTTTCATTGATAGAGTGACTACCTGGTAAAACCTGCAGGAAGTCGATGGATGCAGGTGGCTCCATCCTTTGTGGCATTCTTTGGGGGAGGTCTATGTTAGCAGTGAAGGGCTGTAACGAATCAATCAATTGCTTACAACTAATAATAAGTACTTAGATTATTGATAGCTCTTCGCGCGCTCAGACTAGATACCGCCGGCGCTTTTGTAAAATGCGGTAACTAATAGTACGCCAATATCGGCGTACCAGAGCCAGTCTTATTGCAGGCAATGTGTGAGGCGGGCACACCGATTGTTTTATTAAATTTTATATATAGCATCAATAAGTATCATAAAATTTCGAAATTTCAACATAAAATTACACGAACTAAGTAACGCATAGCTAATCGTCTCAGTCTATCAAAATGGTCGGTGTGGAAAATTTTAAAAAGAGAAGGATTACATCCTTACCATTTTCGACAACAGCTCTATTTGCACTCCCGTTACACAATCCATACACGAAATGGATGTCAGCGATATGCTGGCTTGAGTACTCGTTCATTGTAATAAACAAAAAGTAACAGTTCAACAACAAAACAAAAACGTAACAAAGTCTAACAAAAAACAATAATTATGTACAGTAAGTAGATTTACTTAAAACCAGGAATGTTATCACAACGCAGAGCGAGGGACGACTGCTCGACGGCACAAGCGCACACTGCACCCTTTTTACCTGGAGACAGCCGTTATTCTGTCTCGCTCGCACTGTTGTGCACAGCGTTTTTTACCTGCTCACACAAAGGATGCTATTGTGCTTGCTTACGATTCCTTGAATTATTGAAGAATTTTATGTTACTCACTGGAATGGGTGTTTAGTTATCTAATATCGGGGTAGAGGCACTTTGAACAGTTACATTCAAATTATCATAGCTCCTAAACTATCTAACTCAGAGTTAAGATTTAAATGTGCATTTATAGCAAATATCCTGTATTATAATAAAAACAAGTAAAAAAAATTGGTTAACACGATGGTTTTTTTTTAAAGCTAAGAATCTGAAAAACAACATCAATTTGTTGTCTAATTTATTTTTTCAAAAATGTTTTTTACTAATACTGAAAAATTTATATATTCTGTATATGACTAAGATTTAGTTTGTCGCGTTACACTATTAACTAACATGTTGAGACCAATTTTGTTTTTGAATGTGTTCTACTTGGGTAGATATTGTTACTATATTAATAAGCATCTATGCTTCGCCAACGTAATTTTTTTTAACGTAGTGCTGCCATTTTTTTATTGATGGCGAAAAAAAAATCATTGATCCCTGATTTGTCGATAAAATTAATTGTATTTTAACCCCTTAAAGTATCGGACATACCCTGTATATGATAATATATATATATATATAATATATTTTTATGTGTATATATGTGATTTATTGTTACTATATTTCGTAATATAATATATTTAGGTTATTAAATATATATTTTTTTTTTCTTGTTTTTTATATATATATTATATATATATATATATATATATATATATATATATATATATATATATATATATATGTTTTATTACTAAAATTTAAAAATAATAAATAAAACAAATAGTGTAAACGGGACCCTCCGGTGTCCGTTCGTCCGCCTTACAGCAGCCTAATAACTAAGTAAAATTATATATTTTATGTTCGGTTTGTCAGTTAGACGCTTAAAGCGATATGACCACCGTTTGTAGTTCATCAGTTTTCCGTTATTGTAATAACTTTGTTTAAATGCTAAAAAGAGTTTTCTATCTATCTATCATTATTATGTTTGCTTGGTACGGATTTCCTGCTGATCCTAGATCTATCCATAGTAAATGTTGTTCATGTTGACTGGTAAAATAGAAATACAAAGCACTATTTTGGTAACAACAAATATATAACTATATTATTACTATTAAAATTAATATGTAAATATTAGTAAAATACATATAAATAAAAATAAACTGTTAAAAATGAGGCCCGATTATTTATATACCATTATTCTGAAGAAAAACCTATACATTATGTATAAAAATATATTGATACATTCGCTATGAATAAATCGTTCAGTTCTAAGTATTTTCTGGGCAATATTCATAACTAGTAACTTAACTACTAGACTATAGCACAAAATAATTTTTCCCGTTAATCGGTTAACGGTTCAGCTGCTGGCAACGCAATTTTTCACGCACACTAGCATCCTTACAAATTGTCTTATACACACTACAATATTGAGATGCCGCATTCACATTTCACAGATCTGTGGTTTTTAGGAAGTGTTATATCTAGTCTGAGCGTGCGAAGACTTGTCAATAATCTAAGAGTAAGTACTAATCACCTAATATAGACATGAGTGACAAGGCTATTCGAAAATTGATATTTATTTGAATCATAAATTACTAGTCACTCGTCCCGGCTTCGCATTAGTAACTACCTCCCGGCATAGAGTAGTCCTTATTCCTTGGTCCTTATTCCATCACCAGTTAGATGAACTGTCGCTCTCCATCCTGTTGATAAAATCCTGTACGCTCGGCTCTCATCACCTCAATCAACGTTGGTTGAATTCTCAAAGGTCATCACTGAGTACTTCGAATATCTATTCCCAAAAGTTATCACCACAATAGAGTTTGAGAATACAAACTATCACCAGCAGCGTTTCGAGTCTCTGTAGAGGACGCGCATCAATAAAATGCATAAAACGATTATAGTTAATTAGATAAGAATTTTTACTTTGTACATACAAGCAATTTACTTAAATAGCAAGTTTACTACGTGTAATTTTAAGGCTTTCACCTTGTTAAATGCGAGTTAATAGATAAATAGTTGATATATAACCTTGCGGATATATTTTTAGGCGTTGGCCATGCTAGATCGACTGCGGGGAGGGGAGGCGACCTGCGGAGACGGAAGGCGTGAAGAGTGAAGACGCTGCGCCTTGCCGTCGCCGCTGTAGTACGACTGCATGACATGTGGTTTCTTCTTGATATTTTTACGGGAGTTAAAAAATGAATTTTTCTAAATTGGCACTTTCATGTCTAGAACGGAGTAGTTTTTGTTTGCACAAGATATAATGCAAATTAAAATAGGAGTTCATGATTTAAACTAAAACAGGCATCAGTTTGTTGAATATCGGTGGACTGTATAATAAAATACGTCATACCCACAAAAGTTTTGTGAAATATAATATGCATATAATTTTCATGCTTACTGGACTATACTGCAGACTGAGATATTATTTCGCTAATAAATGTCTCCGTATTTATGTTTTGCATCGCGGAAAAATCAACACTATTTGATTTACACGATGGACGACACATACTATGTCCTCCGTTGGTCGCGGTCGCTTGACGCGCACGCCAGTCGCCTCAACGTGGCACCTCCCGTTCGTCTCGTATTGTTATTTTTTCCGCTCATCGCAGACGCAAGACGCGTCGCGCTAGCGTGGCATACGACTTAGTTTAGTTTACGACGAGCTGTTTTTCACAACTCCACGTCTAAGGGCGTATTTTGCGTCTGGGCAGGAATATTGTTATTATTCGAGCCATGAAATCTCCTCCGACAGTTCTTTGATGTTGCGAGCAACTTCGGGGAGTGATCCTGGCGTGCCGAGATGTTTAGCGACCTCCAGACATGTCAGCAACTCGTGGGCCGCCGTTTCTTCCTCCCCCATACATGCCCTGCACAGGGGACTATCTGTAACACCTATAGTTAATAAATGTTTGTCAAAGGAGCCATATCCCGTTTTGAGTTATTATATACCTAAAACTGTCTCATCAATTAATCTGGCAATTGGTGAAATTTTAATGAAAATACTACTAGTTTGAAATAAACTTTCGGTACTAAAAATAAACGCAAAAAGTATGAACTTAATAAATAAATCAATTAAAAACTATTGATATTAAAATAATGCGCACCTAATTAGTAGCATTTATAGATAAATCTATTTCATACTATGTTAATGAGAAAAAACTTGTATGATATGTGTGCCATAGGCTTCTATTTTCGAACACCTGTTAGGCTACTTTTTTCCAAACGGTAAAAAAATCTTCCAGTACAGTGCAGTACTTCTGAACGATGATAGTGTGATTTAGGTTTTGGTGCGTTTCACTTATGGCGTGACAATAGCGCCGCCACAGGATCGTAAGTTTTCATCAGATCGGAGCATCAAGATCGTAGTAGATGGTGCATACTACTCCGACTACGAGCCTATTAATGCTAGTGTTCCACAAGGCTGCGTGCTATCACCTACGCTGTTTCTTCTGTATATCAATAGTTGGATAGATGTAGATGTCTATGGGTTCCAGCATCCATTTACCATCAGGTGGACTGTGTGCTCGTCTGTCACACTTATCCTATAAAAACACACGGAGCTTTGGCCGCTCCCCGGGTTGAACATCTTACCCGTCGGGAGATCTCCCCTTTTCCTTCCACGGCTAAAATCCAATTGCTCAATTTCGTGGGAAGCCCATAGGAAGGAAGCTTCTAAAGAAGTGCTTATTTTCCAAGCCCATCGAAGGCCTTTGCTATGTCCAGAGTAACGACAAAGGCCTCTTGAACTCTACAGCTTCCGCTCATCTATGAGTCATGTAAATTAGAGGATTAGAACTAGAACCCTGTGTGGTCCCTAAGGTACCTTATGAGGTGGCAGTTTATAATGTATTCCATTATTTTGGAAAACAAGGAGAGGATTGTGTTAGGCCTATAGTTGGACAGGTCTCAGCGGTCGCCTTTTTGGGGATCTGGTGCACTAAAGCTGCTATACATTCAGGATTACGCCTAGGGAGTAGGAGTACCGAAAAATAAGCGTTAGAATCGGTGCTAATCTGGAGCACCCTTCTTTAGCACAATAGGAGGGACTTGATCAAGCCCCTTCGAGTTGTTGACGTCCAGGGAGAGAAGTGCTTTGTACTCTCAGCGACGTGTAAACCGCACATCCAGCATGGAGCAATCACACCATGGGATGATCGGCGGTGTGAATCTCCCCTCATCGGGAGTCGAGTTGAATTCAAAAAGAGAACCTAAAAGATCGACTTTCTCCTATGGCGGTATGGGCCAGTGAGTCCTCCTCTCTGTGCAGAAATGGATCACATGGCGGAAAGAAGTTCTCTTGGACAGAATTGGCAAAACACTTTATTAAAGTTAGAGATGACGAGGAGAGCCTGAGCAAATTAAAATCTTTGAATCACGATCAGTCAGCCAACGAAAGACGAAAGGTACCAAATAATTCAGTCTTATATTTACAATTCATTTATTTGTTTTGTACGAAAAAGAAAGAAAGAGCAGCAAGTAAAACACTTACGGCACTTACTCTATTATTTATTGAAAATATTATACTAAATACCAAATGTATTACATAAGTGGTGCTTGCTAAGGCAAACTCAGCGCCCCTTCAAACCTTGCGTCCTAAGCTTTAGTCTAGTTAGCCTGTAGGCACTGCATTTATGCAAATATTTTGACTACGTATTCTCTGATGCGCACAGACGGATTAAATGTTGACTACGCCCTAGGCTAGCACCTCGTAGGCGCCTATATATTATAACAACTAGTACTTATTTTGCATATTATAATTTATATTATAGTTCAATTGAAAAATAATAAGGACACGAAACAGGTAGCTGTGAATGAAAAATGTGATAAGAGAGTGAGAGCGATGTAGGAGTAATCAAGTAGACGGGCTGCGCTTTGAAAGCTGTACATCTCTATAGAAAGGGAATTTTTTTTAAATGTGAGTAGGTATGTACTTACTTAATTTTTTTCATTTAAAAACTTCCACGAGCGTCCCTATGTAAGCTTACGCCCATAGGAAAGTGCCTAGTTTCTGTTAAGGATAATCCGCAACTGCCGATGTGTATGGTCAAATAAAAAAAAGATTAGAAGTCCTGATTCCGGGAGAGCAGTTGAAATAAAATGCCTACTTAAATAAACACAATATTGGTGTTAACCAAATCCGTTAATAACAGCTTACATTATTATTCAGTTTTTCCATCGTTAGTGCAAAATTTAGTTTTTGCCTTTATTATTAATTAGGCAAAAACTAAATTGTAATTAATTATAATTATGGGGGGTATCTATATAGTTTTCTCATCTGGTTGGGATCTATAAATATATAATTATAAATGAAAATGAAAAGATAAATATACATAAATATCAATAAAATAAAATAAATACAAAAATAAATAAATAAATAAAAGCCCAACCAGATGGAAGCCCTCGGCAGGGGAGACCAAACGCCGAGGGTTAGGGGGAAAGGGAAAGAAACCGGGGGGCAGTATCAAGGAGCACCGCCTTCTGCATTTGAGCCCGGAGCGGTCCGTCACGGAGTCCCACTCGCCTCAGATGACCAGAGAGGCTAACTGGGATTAGCCCATTCGCAGAGACGACTACAGGAATAATTTCGGTAAAATTATAATTAATTATTAATTATTATTATTATTAAGAAAAATAAAATTTCAAGTTCATCTGCCCCGCACAGTAAAAGCTTTAGGTTATTTATTTATTATCATAGATTTAGTACTTACTGACGTTAGAAACTATAAGAAGTTATAATATAATATAAACTATATAATTACTCCCCCCCTAAAATAACTCTGAGAGCTGGCTACTTATCTCAAAAATAACGATGTAAAATCAAAAAATTAAAACTGACATATAATGTCATTGCTTTGTGTCGTTTCAACGTTTTATTTATTTCCCTCTTTGGTTTCTCTTTAGTGATTTAGTTACTTCCACGGACTATATCATGGTATTAAAAACAAATTTTTGTTCAAATAACATTACAGAGATTCGAAAATAAGCAAATTAGTGACTTGAAAACTTTAAAACAGCATGTACATCGCATTTAAATGGCTCCTTGGATTGTCTTTAGCCATGTGGTTTGTCATGTGTTGCATTGACATGTACTTTACTCAAATGAAGATAACCAATAAATCAGGTGTTTATAAATCATACTCTCACAGAATAGCAGCTTAAAATAACAGCTTTATGCTGCCATTTCGTATAGTAAGTGTAGAGAACCGAAGACCCTATTCACTGGAAACGAGACATTTCATCTTTGTCCTCAAGGGTGACAACAGATCTACATGTCGAATTTTAATCGAGGATAGATGTAGACGTCTATGGGCTACAGCATCTACTTACCAACTGGGGAACTGTGTGCTAGTCAGTCACCTTATTCTATGTTTTTAAAAAAATATTAATGTTTAAAGAAATTTACATTTTCTTTGATAAATTCTGCGTTCTAAATAATAAAATATTTCACAATCGCAAAGACCCGAGTAGCATCATCATCATCATCATTAGAGCCCATCACAAATCCACTGCTAAAGCAGGGTACTTATTTACCTGCATCTGTCGTCTTCTTGCATTTCTTATTATGTCGTCACTCCACTCTATCTAGTGAGGGACAGCCCTGCAATTTGACTACCGGTATGAGACTGTTCCTCGAGAATCTTTCTTTCCCATCGGATCTCCTGTCTTCGACCTATACAGGGTTATTTTGCATTTCAATTAATTTTTTCAAGCCTTTAATCGAGGGACTGAGCAGCACCATATCGTCAGCATAGCTCAGGCTGTTAACATATCTGTCGTCCAGTCTGAGCCCTACCGGGGATCTGCTCAGCTCCACGATTAAATCATTCATATAAGTATTGAAAAGATCAGGTGAGGTAACAACCCCCTGTCTCACGCCACAAGAAAGCTTATAGCAATCCGATATTTCACCACCCCACCTATCGTTGTTGGTCTGATTACCGTACCAGAACGCTAGGTCACGGAGCTTTTTCCACAGTATTTCATGACTAATTGTATCAAAGGCACGACTTAAATCAAGAAAACAAGCGTATACAGTAGTAGCAATAACTGGCCGATTTTACAGAGTAGGTTCAGAATAGGTAATATAGGCAAATGGTGAAGAATAATTAATTAAAGGCATCTCAAACATTCTGTCGTTCTTATCTTTTAATTTAAAAATGCGTGGTAATGCATCATTTTAACATATTTTACTGCACACAAAAACAAGGCAAGCAAAAACATTGTAGCTCATAAATCGCATTTAATATGGAATAATTTCAAATGAAAGTAGAAGCATTATTTTCTCGTATTTTCAAAAACTGTAATAACTGTATATCATTATTTATATTCAAGACGTTTTATAAGTTTAAAATTTGGTTAATCTTTGAAAAATAAAATTGTATGGACAGCCTATTACCACTTCAGCTAACTAATCCGTGAGGCTATATTTGCTATGTCGCAAAGACCCGATTTTAATGAAATAATGGAGTAACCGTGGTAATTCTTCCATGTTCAATAATAGGTTGTTGATTTTAGCCATTATTAAACAATACGGAAACACTTACAAAAATGTAAACATTACTAAAAATGGTCCGCCAAAATGCACTGTGGACATTACATCAGAACTTTCGAAAAATCAACAATGGTTTGGATTTTTTCATTACGCATTGTTCTGCGCTGCTGGATTGTTGATTTTCATTATAAATAAAAAGAAAACACTTGCATTATGCGCAAAATTAATTATTTTAAATAAATATTCCGTAAGTAAATATGTACACAAAGCAAGTAATTTGAAAAGAACGGTCATCGTATTAAGTGATACCATATCAAAGTATTCTTTATTTTTGTGGGAAGATTTAAAAAGGATAATTATGAAAAATTACAAATCTTTAACGCAAAAGTATAATGCAAAACGAAAACAAAATAATGACAACTTAAGGATATATTTAATAAACAAATTGAAAGAAGTGACTGAAGAAAGAAGAAATTTATCTTTGCTATTAGCAGCTGCAGTCTGTGAAAACAGAACTATCAGAACTTATTATCGGTTAGAATCTATGGCAAAAACAAGACTTGCATTACACATGGAACAAACTAAAAAGAAAATAAAAGAAAGCCAGTTACAATACGTGAATTTTCAACATTTGTACCTAATGACGCAACAAGAAAATATGTATCTAAAAGCTCTCATAAAAAAATTGACGAAGCAAAAAGAAGACGCTGAAAGAAATCTAATAAGTTTGGTGCATGAAGTTTGCCTAACGAAGAATAAAAAACTAATGGCTTACTGTAGTCGATTTGTAGTGCAAACTAAAGATAAACTTTTATGTTCAGATATGAGCGCAGAGATAAAACAATTTTTAACATCAACTAATTCCGTTCACTGTTCAAAATCATACTTCAAACAAGAGGTTGCCTCAAACACCAAAAACTCGACTAGAAATCAAACTTCAGAGGAAGAAAAACATTTAATGCCATTATTATCAACTTCAGGCCCAAGGCTAGTAGGCCTTCCCGGTGAACACATTTGGACAATCAAAGATAAAGATGGTTTCATTGAAAAGCTTTACGAATATGACTTTGAGCCTAATTTTGATAACGGTGATACAATTAGAAGGATTCGAGAGTATTCAGTTTACCATGACAAAGACTGTTTCTTGGAAAATTTTCAGTAACTATATGATTGTGTTTTAATTCTGTTTGACTATTTTAAAAAAATATTTGTTTACCATGTGTTTATTTTCAGATCACGAACAGTAATTTATGACAACATTTGTGAAACCAGAATCAAAGAAAATTATTTGAAAGATTTAAAAAGCTATAAAACGATGCAAAATCGAAGGTTTTTGACAGGATCTGAGGCTTTTCAAGTGTTCTTGCAAAACACACAAAATCGTATAGTTCCTGTTTTAACATCTGCGACTACAACATATAATAAATGATTTCGCATAATTTACTTCGTAAATTGTGTTTTCATGGTAATAATAATAATCCGTTTTCATACATTAGTCTATTAATTTAAATTAAGGGGATGGCTCAAATCTCTCCTCACGAATATTCGTGTTATTTGTGTATACCAAATAATATTTTTTTATAGAATAGGGTGACAAACGAGCACACAGTCCACCTGATGGTAAGTGGTTGCTGCGGTCCATAGACATCTACATCTATCCTCCATTAAAAATCTAAATGCAGATGTGTTATCACCCGTGAGGACTGAGATGGAATGCCTCGTTTGTTAAACGTTCTGGCCCAAAAATCGCTTTTCCATTGACCCTTATTTTTAATCGTTCCCTAGAAGATGGTATCTTCCCTGAATAATGGAAAAGGCACGAATAGTCCCAGTTTTTAAAAAGGGTGATCGCATGGATATAAAAAAAATTATCGCCCTATATCAATTCTTTCTTGCTTTTCCAAACTATTTGAAAGTCTTGTGCACCCAGTTCTTGCCAAGCACCTTGATAATTTTCTTACTGACTCGCAGCATGGATTCAGAAGTGGATTGTCAGTTCAAACTAATTTGTGTAATTTTATTCTGATCTTTTTTAAGAGGTAGACAAGGATCAAGAAATTGACGCCATATCTACAGACGTTAGCAGTACATTCGACAAGGTTGACCACAAGCAACTCATTAACTAACTTTCTCTGTATGGTATTGGTGCTTCCTTGATTGAATGGTTTAAATCTTATTTGGAGAAAAGATCTCAAATTGTTGTTGTCAATGATTTTGAATCCAAACAGTATCAAGTTCAATCTGGGGTGCCTCAAGGTTCGCATCTGGGCACTCTATTATTCTTGGCTTTTATTAACAACATCACTACTGTAATCAAAAATTGTCGTTGCTCGTTATTTGCTGATGTTTTAATAATTTATAAACCAATAAAATTAGTGGAGGATATAAAACTCATACAGGAAAATCTGAATAGAATATCACGAATAATATGACTCTTAATGCTAACAAATGCTTCCATGTAAAATACACCAGGAAAATAAAACCGCTTGTCTCTAGTTACCAATTGGTAATGTAGTTTTGTAAGAGATACCGGAGATTAAAGACTTAGGAGCAACTATTGACAGAAAGTTAACATTTAAATCTCATATAAACAATATTGTTAATAAAGCCGCGAAGTTCTTAGGATTTATCAAACGTAATACAAAGGGATTTTCATCTGGGACTAAAATTCTTTTATATAATGCTTTTGTAAGAAGTCTCCTTAAATTCGCCAATGTCATATGGAATCCATCTTCTAGTGAGCACTCCTAACGCGTTGAAAGTATACACGCGGTACTTTGGTTTAATAGGCAGCCTTACTATCAGCGACTGGATAATTTTAAAATGATGTCTCTCCAAAATAGAGGAGATATTCTAGATTTGTGTTTTCTACATAAAATAGTACACAATAAAATTAAGTGCAGTGACCTCCTTGACCGCATTTCATTTGCTGTTCCGCGTAAACATCCCCGTTGTCACATCAAAAAAACATTTCATATTCCTTTCGCGAAAACTCTAGGGAGTCACGCTCCTATCGTGCGTATATGTGGTAAATATAACGAATTTTCTAAAACCATACCTGGCATTGAGATATTTAACGACTCTTATATTGCATTCAAAATTAAACTTACAAATCATTTATCATCGAGTTCCTGATATAAATTGCATCTTCAATATAATATATCTTATACTTAAATTAAAAATATACATACTCCTGAAGAGAGTATAATATCTACCATAATCCCTTATTTATAATTAAACCTGTTTTTTATCATTAGATTTTTCTTAAGTACATAATTTATTTGAATAGTTCAAATTTCATGGTATTGATCGGAATATATTTGTACTCCGAATTAACCCAAAATTGCACGACTCAATTTGTGAATGTTATGTACACTTGTTATGGATATACATATCAGAGAGTATAGAAATGTGTATGTTTTCGTGGTTGTCATATATGTGTATTGTAAGTGTACTTGTTAAATAAAATAAAATAAAATAATAATATATTCATCATTATCACTTGATTTAGAAAAATATTTACTTGATCATTCAAATAATAATAAGTCTAGCACTTAACACTTTAACAGTGGTAGAACCACGCGGCAGCACGTATGGGCCGGCTCAAACCGGGGTGATACCACGACCTCACAGAATACCGGCGTGAAGTGGAAGCCCTGCTTCAGTGTTTCGTCTGGTGAGTGCAAGTGGCCTGAGGCCTAAACCCCCCCCCATCAATATGGTAGCGGAATTAAATGATGATAGACTACCCCAGGAGGGTACCAGCACCCCTGGAGAATTCCTCGCTGAGCATCCACGACCATGTTTCTTCACTCCTGAGCGTGGGTGCTTAGGCTGCCCCGCGTATACTGGGGGGGGGGGGGGGGGCAAAATTCCGCTCAAGACTACAACTGCTCGGGGCAAACGGAGCAACAAGACCAAGGCGACCCCTGCCACGCTATCCGTGAATTTCTGCAATATCAGGGGACTTCACTCTAACCTAAACGCCGTCCACTACCATCTTGAGACGGCGAGGCCGGCTCTGCTCTTTCTGACCGAGACGCAGGTGTCCTCTCCGGCTGATGTCTCGTATCTCTCCTACCCGGGGTACAAACTGGAACACTCCTTTGTGCCTCGGGCTGGAGTTTGTGTTTACGTCAGAAAGGACATCTGTTCTCGATGCCTCGGCAGTCTTGAAGGTTCGGACCTGTCCATCCTTTGGCTACGCGTAGACAGTGACGACCATCCGCGCGTCTACGGGTGCCTCTATAGGTCCCATAGCGGTAATGCCGATATAGACCTACTCTTCGGCCACATCCAAATGGCTACAAATTCGTTGATATAGCAGATCCCCTTCGCAGAGATCGTGATCCTCGGCGACTTTAACGCCCATCACGCCGAATGGCTTGGTTCACGTTTAACCGATCATGCGGGGAGACCTGTTCATGATTTTGCCTTGGCATATGGTCTGACACAATTGGTTACTTCACCTACGCGGATTCCAGATGTGGAGGATCATGCACCTTCCCTGTTGGACCTTCTGCTGACATCTCACCCGGACGGATATCAGATTTCAGTCGATGCCCCTTTAGGATCCTCGGACCATTGTCTTGTTCGGAGTGTGGTGCCACTCACGTTGAAATCGCAGTTGCATTCTGCAGGCTGCCGCCGTGTTTGGCACTATAGGTCAGCCGATTGGAATGAGATGCGGTCTTTCTTTGCATCCCCCCTTGGGGGTGGGTTTGCTTCTCGCCGGACGATCCCAACGTTGTTGCGGATTCTGTCGCTGATGTGGTACTTCAGGGTTTATAACTTTTTATTCCTTCCTCTGTGGTGCCCATTGGAGGCAAATCTCAGCCATGGTTTGGTCGCTGCTGTAAAATAGCATCATGCTATAAGCAGGAGTGCTACCAAGCCTGGGCTGACGCATCAACGTTCCGGGATGTAAACATCAGCGCTCTAAAAACGAAGTATAACTCCGCCTCTAGGTCCATCAAAAGAGTAATTGCCAAGGCAAAGTCAGAGCACATAGGCAGAATTGGCGAGAAACTAGTTCGCCTTCCTTCTGGAACCCGTACATGCTGGTCTCTCGCCAATGCTGTCCAGGGAATTTCTGTCAGCCATCTCTTCCATCTCTGCACAGGGAGGACGACTCACTGGCCCATACCGCAAAGGAGAAAGCCGATCTGCTAGGCTCTATCTTTGCGTCCAACTCCACTCTCGATGACGGGGGGAGTCGACCATCCCGCAGTGTGAGTGATTCATGCTGGAAGTGCAGTTCACACAGCGCTCGGTTCGCAAAGCACTCCTCTCCCTGGACATCCACAAGTCGAGTGGGCCTGACGGAATCTTCCCAATTGTGCTAAGGACGTGTGCTCCAGAGTAGGCACCGGTTTTAACGCATCTTTTCCGGTACTCCTACTCCCTGGGCATAGTCCCAAAATCATGGAAGTCGGCTTTCGTCCACTCGATCCCTAAAAAAGGCGACAGCTCAGACCCGTCGAACTACCGGCCTATCGCCATCACCTCCTTGTTCTCTAAATCAATGGAGTCTATTGTTAATTACCAGCTCATGAAGTACCTTGAGGATCACCAACTGATTAGTGATCGCTAATAAGGTTTTCGCCGTGGTCGGTCAGCTGGTGATCTTCTGGTCTACATAATGATTTCTTATATTTACGCGAACGCTACATATTGACATAATACTAGTTTTTACGGATTTTGTCGCGTATATTTAACTTTTTAAATACCCGAAATTTCGAGCGCTTTACAGAACCCATGGCACGGGGGGCCTGTCGGCGGGGGGGGGGGGACTGAGAAGTTGAACGTCCAGATGCCATAGTTAACCGCGTTTACCATAGATTATTATGTATATAAAAAGTTAAATATACGCGATAAAATCCGTAAAAACTAGTATTATGTCAATCTTCTCGTCCACCTAACTCACAGATGGGCGGAGGCAGTCAGAGTCCAAGGGGGAGGCATTGGCCGTTAGTTTGGACATTGCGAAGGCCTTCGATCGAGTTTGGCACAAAGCGCTTCTTTCGAAGCCTCCTTCCTATGGGCTTCCCGAGAAATTGTGCGTTTGGATCACCAGCTTTCTTGCAGATCGGAGCATCAAGATCGTTGTAGACGGTGCAAGCTCCGATTACAAACCTATTAATGCTGGTGTTCCACAAGGCT